AATAAAATAAAAAAATTACAAGGAAAATTTGGTAATTACAATTAAACACAGATCGTATATTTATATGTTTATTAATTAAATTAATATATTTGATGCATAGATTCATTATTGGAAGCACATGAAAAATTGAAAAAAGATCAAGAGGATATGAAGAAATCAAAAGGAAAACTAGAAGCTGTTGCAATACTACGTGAATCAAAGGAAAGAACAAAACAATACCAACAAGTAATAGTTTGTTATTTTTTTGTTAAGATGATTTATTCAATTTAAAGTGTTAGAGTGAGTGAGTGAGAGTATATGGTGAATCTATCACCCAACAAATTTTTTTTTGAATTTTTATCTATTTATTTATTTATATAAAACAAAAAATTTAAAAAAAAAAAAAATTTTTTTTAGAAGTTAAAAAATATTATTGATTTTTTTTTTTATTACAAGTAACTAAACTATTTGTATCCTCTCGATTAACAGATTTGCCTATTTCTTGTGTGGCACTTGATTCTTCTTTGGAACTTAAATGAAAAAAATAAATTTATATAACAATAAACAGAAATTTACATACATTGGGTTACTCATTATAGAAAATTAAAATTTATTCTAAAACAAGGCAATGACGTTGATGATGATGACGAAGTTATACAAGTCGATCATTATTTGGAGAAGAGAGAAGTTTAAACAACAAGAACAACAATCTATATAGTTCCCAAAAAACAGTTTATTACCCTTGTCACATGAAACTGTATATAATAGTAAATAATTGATGAGGGAGAGAGAGATGTTGCGAAGCCGTGTAACTTTATATGGTGTAGAATAGAGAAAGGAAGGAGTGATTCATTAAAATATAATATAGCCACACACACACCACATGGACACATCACATCTGCATATTTTTTTTTCTCTCTGCCTGCTTGCATTTTATTATTTATTATTTCTAAAAACATCAATGATTAAAGTTATCACGTATCAACCACCATTGTGATTAATTATTTAGTTTTCTCCTTCATCATTTAAATTTCATATCAAGTTGTTCGTTAAGGGACACGGACGACCACTACCACCACCAATTATTTACGACGATCATTTTACATTTCACAACAAATGACAAATAACACCGTTGAAAGGTGTTGTCGTCATCATTCTACCTACTCCTTTGAAAAATTAGTCAACTAGCCAATAATGGTGATGTTAAGCATACGTACCAAAAAACTAAACTAATTGACCCCATTACCTCAAAAATACACATCATATTTCCCAAATAACCAACCAATTAAAATGCTTGATTTTTAAACCAGTCAAAGAGGAGAAATTAATCGACAAATAATAAGTAAAAATAATAAAAGTTTTATTTATTATTATATATTTGTTATTATTATA